AATGACAAGTTTTGAACCTGGAAGGTGGGATCACTCACCAAATCCTCAAATATTTGAAGAATGAAGAGAGAGTTGATGCTTGAAAGATAAATAAAAGTCTGCAGTAATTTAGAAACTTAAAGAACCTGTTAATAGGTTCAGGATTTTAAAAACCAGACCCAAAAAGACTTTAAAAATCCAAGAAAAGCAGGCCTGGGGCTGATCTGCAGGTATGGGCTGAACGCTAACGCTGCTACGGAGGACGACAGCTCATCTGTCCCAGCGCGACAAGGATGAGAGACGGGTAGCGTCTGTGACGTCCCCCTAATTGAAAGGATCATCTGAACTCCTGGCTGGACCTCTGTCCCCCTCATTCAGATAGTGAGTACAACAGACTGTGAAAAGAATTCAATGATACTTAAGCATGAGCAACTTGAAAGCATACTTACTTCCCAAACCTCAACACGCCAGAAACATAGGTCTGCCAGTGAGCGCAATAAAACATGAACATCCCAATAAAGGAGCAGAAAAACAGCCAGTCCGGGTGAGTCCCCAGGCGGACAGCCAGTGAGGCTCCAACTGCCATGAACACTGAAGGAAACAAGATTTATGATCCACTGAGATGAAAAATAATGAATGGCATCATTTCCATGCACTGCTTAGAATTTTAGGGGACAAAATCCTGGAATTAAAATGGGTCTACTAAATAAAGCTAATTATTGAACAAAAATTTTAAAACTACTCTGCACAGAACTGTACCCATTCAAAAACTCGGTCTATGATTTTTTTTAAATAATATGTTTATTTTTACATCATTTTGTGCATCCCCCCCCCTTTTTTTTAAGACTTCATTAAAAATAAATAACCACAGGGGAAAAAAAAAAGTCTCCATTAATTTACCTGTGGAAAGAGAGTCACACCCATGGTCAAACAGTTCTCCCAGAGGAGAACACGAGTTGGTTCTTCTGGCTTGTTTCCCGTCGATGGCGTCCAGGGACTGGTAGATGAAGAGGCCCAGCGCACACAGCAGGTACGTCCAGGAAGGCGCCTGTGGGCCGGGGTCAAAGTACAGGCTGGTAAGTGACCACAAGTGAACACCTGCTCAAAAAAAGCCCAACCTAAGGCAGTCAACATATTTCACCTGTGTTCTCACTTTATATCCCTGCAGGGTGTGGTGAGGAACACCTTCCAGGTGAGAACAAACTCGTGAAGCTGAGTAAAATGCGTTCAGCAGGCAGGGTGCAGGCCTGCGGAAGCCCGCCTGAGAGCAGCACACAGGGAACCACCAAGCGAGGCAGGGCTCTGGCTTTGACCAGGGCCCAAGGCCCTTTCAGGACACTACAGTTTATGTGCAGCATTGGATTGGAAATGAGTGTTAGCTGTGGAGAAGGACCTTGAAGACAGACCACAGACCCTGTTTCAGTTCATGATGGAGAACTAGGGGCTGGATTTACTTTCTCCTTGTATAACTAGGAAAGCAATAAACGTACACTAAAACCTCCATAAATGAAAAATATTATGTTTGAATATATAGATATGAGGAATTGCAAATATTAGCTACTGCTGACGAGATCACTGAGTTTACAGGCTGTACCTATGGAAACTCTCCAACATGATGCACAGATGAAAGCCAAACATATACGTGGCTGGAGTCTCAGAAGGAGAGAAGATGGGCAAGTAAAGAAAAATTGTGGCTGGAAAATTTCATAATTTGATATATAAACTCATATCCAAGACAAGACATGCAGCAAGCCCCAAGCAGATCAAGAAGAAATGATCAAAAAAAAAAAAAAAAGAAAAAATACCAAAGTACCACATTGTACATCATAATCTAATTACTGAAAACTGGTGATAAAAATAAAATATCAAAAAAGAAACCAGAGAAAGAGATAGAAGCTTAGCTAATAACAGAAAGAGTTGGTGAACTTGAAAACAGACCAGTAGCAATGATCCAGCTTTCATGAGAAAAAGAACAGCAATTCTAGCACTTAAAAATGTCTCCTGCCTGCATAATGATCACAGTGGTTAACCTAGAATTCTACCTTAGAGAGGAAGTATAGTGAATGTGTCAAGAACTAGGCTTTCAAAGTTAGCTCTGTGTGTGAGTCCTTGGCTCTCAATGGCTAGGTAATCTTGGCTAAGGTTACCTGGGCTGAGGTTTGGCTACTTCATGTGTTTAAGATGTTAATAATATAGTCGTAGCTGATTAAGTTTTCCATAGCTCTTTACAAAGAACCTGGAATACACATGGTGGCAAATATAACTTTGCAAATACCAACCTATGTATATTTTATGGAGTAATTCTATAAATATACTATAAACTTGCTACTCTTGCCTAATCTAAGTAAATAGAAGTTTACTTTGAACTACCTTTAATAAAATGTTCATTATTGTTAATATAGCTCATATAGCTAACTCTTTGAAAGGTCTCCCTAGGTCTTGGAGGATGAAAAAATAAGCAGTGTGAATGAGAAATAATTTAAGAATAGAAACAACTGAGTGGTCAACATACACAGTAAGATGTTATATTCAGTTCGGATTAGCATGCTTTTAAAGACTTATCTGGACATTATGAATAACTTGAGAAGGCTAAACACAATGAGAAATCAGAAAAAAGGCAAAACAGACCACCCAGAATATTCTGAATGAATCGTAGTGTTTTTACATACTATACTCCTATTGATGCTTTTGATAACCAAATGTACACAAACACATACACTATTGGAAATTGAAGTTTAAATTTTCTGGAGTAACAGTCATTTTATTCTTATTATCTGTGTTCCATTAAATACTTTCCTCCTAGATATCAGTAAAACATCTGAGATAAATTTCTCTCTTCCATGCTTATCACTTTTTTGTTGCTGCACCAAAGCCCCTTTCGTTTTCACTTGTGGTGGCAGGTGGCCAGACTTAGAACCACAAGAGGGTTCCGATCTGGGCAGGTTTTAGACCCTGTGCACGAGAGAGATGATGGAAACATTCCTATTTGGCCAGTGCCAACAGTGTTCACCCAACTGTACCCAG